AACACCAGTATGGTTTTCGCAACAAACACTCAACAACTCATTTATTAATAGAAATAACAGAGAAAATTAGACAAGCCATCGATAATAAACACTTTGCGTGTGGAGTGTTTATTGACATAAGAAAAGTATTTGATACAGTTGAGCACACAATCCTCTTAGAAAAATTGAAACACTACGGTATAAGAGGTATTCCTTTTCTCTGGTTTTCCTCTTATCTTTGTAATAGAACACAATTTGTTTCAATTAATGGTATCAACTCAGGACTAGCTAAATCTTTTAATGGTGTTCTGCAAGGCTCGGTTTTAGGTCCATTACTTTTTCTTATTTTTATCAATGATTTAAATGTTTCTCTTAAATTTTCTACTGCTTATCACTTCGCGGATGACACCAACTTACTCCTAATTAATAAATCGCTTAAAAAACTTAACAAAAATATGAATCACGATCTAGCTAATGTTGTTCAATGGCTCCGCTCCAATAAATTAGACGGCGTTAAAATGTGCAAGGCCCTATACAAAAATGAAAATGCGAGGTCTTTTCTACATACATTTATACTATATCAACCTTGAAACAACATATAATATTGTATAAAAGCAAGATATTTTATATTAAGGTAAAATGCCGTGTGTCAAGGTACAACAAATCTTGGAGTGAATAAGAAAAAAAAATTCAATACATATGAAACTACCGTTAATTAAATAAAATGCAAGTAAAAATAGTTCACACATTTTTTTTTCAGTTTTCACATAGGCGAAATTTCAAGTAAATCTGAATAGTACAAAGCTCGATTTGTTGATTTTCAATAGAAATTATTGCTAAACCAGAGAAGCGGTTCTCTGGTTTAGCAATTGACTGTTTTTAGATTTTTTTTTGGAGGTTTTTATGAGATTTAACTAAGAAAATAATTTTTCTGCGTTTGCAACGGAATTTAGTAAAATAGTAGATTGATTTAGAGTGGGTATATCATTATGGAAATAACATATAGAGTGACTCACAAATGAGCTAAGGGTTCATTAGTGAGTAAAAATACCAGCTTTTTTTCGCATGATTGCCAATTTGATTGCGCACAAGATGGCCATATTCTATCATGTGCGCAATCAGAAAACTGGCTCAGAACTTAGAAGTCGGGGTTAGGAGTTTAAACCGCAGCTCTGTGAATCTTTACTTCAATAATATTTTTTTTTTTTTATGTTGATTTAGGTGCCCCAAGAAGTCCTTACGGTCTTATCACAGAGCACCGCGGAAGAGCATTTAAAAGGAAGTTCACGCCTCCTTCCTAACCGATGTCGCAAAACTTGCCCAGAGGTGGGTTTGAACCGCGGATCTTACGTTCCTGAGGCAAGTGCGCTACCACTGCGCCACGGCTGCTTTTATTGAAATTGTCATGAAAAATACAAACAAGTTTAAAAATGTTTGAAAATCATCAAATTTTTAAATTGTGATGAATTAATCATTACGACTGTACACAAATCTGTTAAAGTTATAACAAAAAAGGAAAACATTGTGTTTCCTCCGTAACTAGTGGTGAACGAGATGCAATGACATCTATTGTTTGTACTACCAACGTGATTGGAAAGTTTATTTCTTAAACAATGATTCTTAAGAGAAAACAAATAAAATTAGAGTTCATAGATCATTCTCACACTGGAACATAGATTATTCTCACACTGAAACCAATAAAGAGTGCTTTAAAAATAGCTGGATTTAAAACTGATCTATTTATAGAGTATATAAAACATTTTACAAAGTACATAAGAGTTTCTGTAGAAAATGAAACTCTTTTAATTTTAGACACAATAGGCACAAAACACATGCAAAAAATATTAATTTGTTAGATTTTGCAAAGGAAAATGGAATGAGGAAGAAAAATTACATAAACATGATCAAATTTTAAACACAAGTTAATTCAAGCAACTTATTTTCATTGTTGTCAGGATATTTATAAAATATTGATTTTAATAAAGTAACACCCTGATTTCTTATATTGTAGTAATGCCAAAGATCACTTTAATACCACGAAAAGGAGAAGAATTACAGAAAATAACAACATCACATTATAGAAAATTATTATTTGAATCCTCTGAAAAATCAAAAAAGTTAAAAGAACAAAAAATAGAAAATAAAATGAGAATGAAAATTATTTTACGTTGTTACTTAATCTTTTCAAATTAAAATATTTAATGATTTATATTTTTATTTAATTCAAAATATTGTATAAAAAGTAAAGTACCGCATATTCTCGTATAAGTCGAGAAAATGCATAGGAAAGAGTAAATAAAAGGTAAAAAATTCATAATAAGATCGTATGATCTTCTGGAAGTTCTGCCGATTATATTTGTAATAAAGCTATTCTCTAATAGTAATTTTTTATTTAAGGCAAATAAATATTAAAAAAAGTCTAAATGTTGAAGAATGGGAGTGTTATGTCAGTAATGGATCATAGACTAAGGCTGGTAAAGGAGAGGAGTGGAGTCAATGTTCAAAATGAATAACTTGGGTTCATTCGGACTGTTGTTCATTTCAAAATACTGGTCAAGCAATATGTAACTTATATGACTAGTAATTGTGTATTTGATTATATAGTGACAGTTTGATTATAGATGTATTATATTATAAAATGTCAACAATAATAATAAATAAAAATAAAATCTTGCTAATCCTCTGATCTGTTTTGTTCATCCTTATTTATTTAAATTACTAAGAAAGTAATTAAAAAATCGAAATTAGTTAAATTATAGTTAAAATTATATAAAGTAATAAATTATAGTTATAAATTAATTATAAATAGTAATAAATTATAGTTAGAGTTATAGCTAAAAAAAAATCTAAGATTAAAGTAATTTAAAAAATTTTGCAAAATGAGACGGGTTGTTAGGCAAATAACTGCTTAAGTGTTACATTTTGCCCCTCACTACCCTACACAGTTAGAAATTTTTAAAGCCGCTGAAGTCGTCTAAAGTAACGTTTAGTGCAAATAAAGTTAAAATAATGCTTGAATGGTTAGATTGAAGATCACAGTGAATTAAAAAGTGAGTTTGAAAGCAGTTTTAGCATAGAAGATTTAGGATGTTGAATTGTGAAACTCTCATCATGAAAATAATCATAGTGATGCGGCCTTCTCCACAAAAGTTTCTTCTATAAATAAATGCAAAAAAACTTTTTAGTAACAAAACTCAAAAATTAGTTAATTATATTAATTCTTTTGCATCTCACAAAATGCAGATATGGACATGGAAAAACCTGGTCAACTTTAAATTGAGATTTCTCTAAAACCACAAATGCTTTTTATTACTTTTATTTTTTTGATTAAACGTTACTTTCTTATCTTAAATTGTGTTGATAAACTTTTGTTTACAAGTAAATGATTGGCAAAATGATTCGGAAACAAATTAAGGTACGTTAAAAAGTTGTGATATTTTTTTGCGAAAAACCAACAACTTTATTGCTTTATATATTATATATATCGCTTATTTGTTATATATCGCTTTATTGCTAAACGTACAAATGTCCCAAAATCTACAGTCATATATATTATAAATAAGTTCAAGACTACTCAGAGCTTTAAAGGAAAACCTGAAAAAACTTTCTATAAACCCAAAAAGGTAAAGTCAATTCTCAGTTCAATAGTATGAAATCCGAACCAGTCATAGCGAGATCCAGCGAGAAAATTCAAGACTTTGCGTTCTTATATCAAAAATGTTCGAAGCATTTTATAAGAAAAATGCACCTAAGAGAAGCGTAAATGATGAAATTAAAAAAATTCACCATGCAAAAAAGTTGGATAAAATAATGGCAGATAAAAGTATGTGTATAATTGAAGACGAAACATATTGCAAGGCGGATTTTTCACAACTTCCTGGTCAACAATTTTACTACGAGAACAAAGATAACCCTGTCAATCAATTTAAAGATTTTTGACGAGAAAAATTTGTATCCAAGTTCTTTGTGTCGCAAGCAATTTGTAGTTGTGGCATGCAGTCCTTTTGTTTTGTCAATCTTTGATCTTGAAATACAATCTTTGATCTTGTTTTGTCACTAAGAAGAAAACTTGACTGCTGATTTCTAAATCAAAAAATGCCCCAAAAAAGACTTGCTATTCGTGAAAAAGCACGTATACCGATATCTCTTTTGGCCAGATTTATGGTTTTAGGGAAATCTCGATTTAAAGTTGACCGGATTTTTCCGTTTCCGCCCGATAAACAATGTTTCATCTAAGATTAGTTCAAAAAAAAAAGTCGGGGCATACAAAATACAATCTTTGATCTTAAATCGAAAGATTTTTGTGTGAAATGAAGAAATAGCAGAGTTATTAATAAAGAGTTATTATTAAATTAAAAATTATTATAAAAAAAACCTGGAAATATTGGTTAGGTCAAACGCAAAAATGACTTAACACGAGCATGAGCAGTTCTGTCATATTTGCATTTTTTTCATTTTAGTGTCACCCTTTTATGTCAGGTTTTGGTGGTGTCTTCTTGTGACGCCACGGAAACAATGTATGTCTATGGTTATCATTATTTTTTTCATAGATCCTAATTAATAATTTTCATCTGATGATTTATGGCGGTCACGGGTAGATCAAACATTTTTTTGGTGTTTGAAATAACTTTCAGACAAGAAGTAAACTACAAACATTTAGATATTCATACTTATGTCAAATAAGGATGCTTTGAAAAGTATAGCGATGATTGGAGACTGGGAACAAAAAAGCTCCAAACTTTTGCCACCTTGGCTTAAATATGAGAGCAACAAGTTGTTAACTTTTCTCAATTAAATTTATGTTCATCAATAAATTTTAAGTTTTATATCTCTCAGCGTTCAAAAATTATGACGATATAAATTTTGAACCCTCATCCATTTTAGGGGGTTACATATAAAATTTTATCTCAAACTCCAAAAAATGTTAAATGTTAAAGGAGCAGGGATTAAATAGTAAGGGGAAGCGTTTTGTAAACCTTTTAAAATCTAAAACAAGAAAAATTAAAAACAAAATAAAAGTGTACAAAAGAAATGTTCCTCCATTTAATGGTAAATTATCGGATTAAAAACATAAAGTTCAAACATAAAAAGCCATTCCATTTTGAACAAAACTTAAATCGTATAAGATAGATTCTCAGATTTTTCATTAATCTACAGGAAACCAAGTGACTCTTTGTTTCTAATTATTTCTTATCTTTACGAAACAAGCCAACTCGTTCGCATCAACACGAACTCAACTTTAAACGCTGATAGCACAAAGTTAACGAGCTTATTCACTTTGCTTTTAACTCTGCTTTTAACGCCTAAATGAGAATGCAAAATTATTTTACAACGTTGTTACTCAATCATTTCAAATTAAAATATCTAATGATTTATATTTTTATTTAATAAAATATTGTATAAAAAGTAAAGTACCGCATATTCTCGTATAAGTCGAGAAATTTATGTCAAATTTTCAAGTCAAAATAGTTTATACGCGAGTATAATTAACGTTACATTAACGTTATAAAATTATTGTTTACAAAGTAATTTGTATTTTTTATGACCTGTGTGTAAGTCGAAGTGACAATTTTGACTTGAAAATTCGACATAAACCTCTCGACTTATACGCGAGCACATACATTATACATAATTAGTATTTAATTGTGCATAATTAGAATATTATTTAGCACAACAGTATGGTATTATGCATATTTAAATTAAAACTAGGCATAGGGGCTCATTTTATGTATGTATATCAAGAATATAAATCCTGACTTTATATTTGGATGATAAATCCTAACTTTATCGACATATTTTACTTCTTTCTAACTTAAGTAAACTATTTGAAAAAGTAATGTTCCAAAGACTCGAGCATTTTTTGGAAAAACATAAATTTATTTACAAACACCAGTATGGTTTTCGCAACAAACACTCAACAACTCATTTATTAATAGAAATAACAGAGAAAATTAGACAAGCCATCGATAATAAACACTTTGCGTGTGGAGTGTTTATTGACATAAGAAAAGTATTTGATACAGTTGAGCACACAATCCTCTTAGAAAAATTGAAACACTACGGTATAAGAGGTATTCCTTTTCTCTGGTTTTCCTCTTATCTTTGTAATAGAACACAATTTGTTTCAATTAATGGTATCAACTCAGGACTAGCTAAATCTTTTAATGGTGTTCTGCAAGGCTCGGTTTTAGGTCCATTACTTTTTCTTATTTTTATCAATGATTTAAATGTTTCTCTTAAATTTTCTACTGCTTATCACTTCGCGGATGACACCAACTTACTCCTAATTAATAAATCACTTAAAAAACTTAACAAAAATATGAATCACGATCTAGCTAATGTTGTTCAATGGCTCCGCTCCAATAAATTATCTCTTAACTCTAAAAAAACGGAAATTATTATATTTAAATCTGCTCAAACAAAAATAAATAAGCAATTAAATTTCAGATTAAGTGGCCAAAAAATAAATCCAGTTAACTCTATTAAATATCTTGGAATCAAAATAGACTCTAATTTATCTTTTGCATCGCATCTTTAAGACTTAGCATTGAAATTAAGCAGATCGAATGGTATTTTAGCTAAAATTCGTCATTTTGTTAACCATGAAACTTTGCTTAATTTATATCATGCTATTTTTCACTCTCATCTCAGATATGCTTGCCAAGTTTGGGGACAATCTAAGCAGGATGCTTTATTAAGACTAACTTATCTCCAAAACAAAGCTCTAAAATTAATTTACTTTCAACATACTAATTCGAACTGTAGCATACTCTATTTTTTATCTAAAGTCCTTAAATTGTGTGACCTTATTCAGATATCAAATTGTCTATTTGTTTGGAACCAAAATCATAATAACTTACCTCTTACATTTATCAAACTTTTTAGTTATAGGGAAAACTGTAAATATATTCTACGATCTGCTCTCAACTTTAAATTATCTGTACCTAAATATCGAACTGTTCATTACGGCTACGAATCCATACAACATAAAAGCATACAAACCTGGAACAATCTCCCTTCCCAATTAAAATCTCTTAAATCATTCTCAAAATTTAAAACTGCTCTCTTTAACCATTTTTTAGAAAAATACTCTTTATAAATCTTATACCTTTTTACAACTTATTATTTATAACCCTAACGCGGTGCTTCTATTCATCTTTTATTTTTTCTCTTTTCTATCGTGATATATTTCTAATTTTAGTATCAATTATTAAATTTATTATTATAAACTGATATGTTTCTATAGTATTCTCTTATCACTGTTGTTGTTATTATTACTATATTTTTATCATAATGAATATTATTGTAATTGTTATTATTGTTGTTGTTATTATTTTTGTTGTTATTATTGCTATTATTATTGCTATTATTATTATTATTATTATTATTATTATTATTATTATTATTATTATTATTATTATTATATATTATTTTTATAAACGCTACTATTATTTTTTTTTTATCACTATAATCACTACTACTACTTTTATTATTCCTACTTGTATTATAATTATTATTATTATCTCCATCTTATTTTTATTTAGTTTGACAGGTGTTTACTTTATATTAGTACAAATCACTATTTGTAAATATCCTTGATGTAACAACTTTATTCAGAATATATATTTGATATGATTTGATTTGATTATCTACCAATACGAAGGAACTAAATAATGTTGATTATGATATGATAACTTAATCGAGTCTCTTTTTAAAATTATGGTATTTCAAAAAAGCTTGTACACAGTTTGCCCCTACCTTCTACGCGTAAAACAAACTGAACAAGAAAACAGAAAGTTTTCTTAATATAAGGTTGCAAAAATATCTGCTCTGGTAAATTGGATCACTAATTTTTCTTATAGCTGTAAACTCTACTTTTAAATACTTTAATTTCATGAAACAAGTTCAAGCAAGACTTTTAGAAAATAAAAAAAATTGTGGATGGATTTGCTCAATCATGAAAAAAAAAGACAAAGAGGGGAATGTACAAAATAAATTTTTGGCTTCAAAGGTTTCGAATGTTTTTGGGGAAACCAAGACTTTTTACCCTTAAAACCAAACTGGGTCTAGTCTGCATGTATTATGCATGCATTGTGCATGTTAATACTGTTTTTTATTTTGCTAAAGTTATTATATCATACGCTACAAACTGTACAACATGTACCCAGTGTGATAAAATGTGACTAAGCGAATTGAGTCATGACTAGCGTTTATTCTTTGAAAGCCTTTAAATTAATTAAAGATATTTCTTTGGCTTCAGAAGAAATATAACTCAAATGACCATGAAAAATAACCAAAACTGGTTTCAGCCTGTCAACCTGGTTTTAGCCTGTCAAAATATATATTAACCAAAATACTTTTGACCATATCGGGTGGACACGGAAAAATCCAGTCAACTTTAAATTGAGATTTCTCTAAAACCATAAATGCTTTTTACTTCAAATTTTTTTTTTCAAATATGTCGACATTAATAAGGGTTTCAACTTTACTTTAAGGGGCTCGATGGGCTGTTTGGCAAGAGATTGAATTTAATACCTGTTGATGCCATCATTTTGCAGACTTTTTCTTTTTTCAACTTATTGGTGGCATTATTCCACTTTTTTTAAAAAGTCCTTTTTATTTTTTGTTACTCCACCTGTCTAACAAAAAACTCCTAAACTATTGCCCAAAAATCATCAACCCAGGGCTCTTCAGGACGATTTGGAGGATTCTCATCTTTAGGAAGAATTTTCACATTATTATCTTAGCACCACTGTAGAACCATTTTACAATAGTGAGAGGCAGCAAGATCTGGCCAAAAGAGATATCGGTATTTGTGTTTTTCCATAAATAACAAGTCTTTTTTAGAGGCATTATTTGATGTAGAGATCAGCAGTCAAGTTTTCTTCTTAGTAACAAAACAAGAGGACTGCATACCACAACTACAAATTGCTTGCGACATAAAGAACTTGGATACAAATTTTTGTATCCAAGTTCTTTATGTTGAAGGAAGTTGTGAAAAATCCGCCTTGCAATATGTTTTGCCGTCTTCAATTATGCACATACTTTTATCTGCCATTATTTTACCCAACTTTTTTTGCACGTTGAATTTCTTTAATTTCATCATTAACGCTTCTCTTAGGTGCATTTTTCTTATAAAATGCTTCGAGCATTTTTAAGTACTTTTAGCGATCTCGCTATGACTGGTTCAGATTTCATGATATTGAAATGAGAATCGACTTGTACTGTAGTCTTGAACTTATTTATAATATCTATGACCGTAGATTTTGGGACATTTTTTTTTTTTTTTTAAATTATCTTCGCTTCCAACAAGGCTGCAAGCAACCACTAACTAGTGTTGGAAGTTACTGGAAGAGAAAAGATGAAAATTGTAGAGCAAGATAACGATTGACAGACGACTTAAAAGATTGCAAATTATACGAATCAGGAAAGCAAGATGAAGGAAGCGAATTCCAAAGATCTGATGTTCGAGGAAAAAAACTAGACGAATAAGAGTTTTTGGAGCACTTAGGAACAGTAACAGAAAAAGGATGAGACTTAATTGAATGACGAGTAACACGAGAATGAATTTTAGTAGATGGCACAAGAGACGCTAGCTCCTTCAAGCAGTGCCCATTATAGTATTTGTAGAAAAGAGAAAGAGAAGCAACATTACAACGATGTGACAGAGGTTGAAGGTTGGCTGCAAGAGCAGGTCTAACTATTTTTACAATGCGTTTTTGCATCTTGTCTAAAAGAGAAGGGGCATCATTAGAAGATCCGCCCCAGATATGGCAACAGTATTCCATACAAGGCCGGATTTGAGATTTATAGAGATAGAGAATAGAATCCAGAGTAAGAAAGTGACGAGCTCGATAAAGAGAAGCAACTTTAGCAGATGCTAATTTTGCAACGGATTTGATATAAGGTTTCCAAGAAAGATCAGAAGTAAGAGTTAATCCTAGAAGATGATGGGTAGGAGACTCATCGAGTACATTACCGTTCATAAATATAGAAAGGTCTAAATTATTGCGATAACGATTGGCCAAAAAAAATTGAGTTTTATCTGAATTAAAGTTCACCAGCCACTGTACGTTTAGCATTTTACATTTGTACGTTTAGCAATAAAGCGATATAAAATTGATGGTTTTCCGCAAAAAAAAAATTCACAACTTTTTAACGTACCTTAATTTGTTTCCGAATCATTTTGCAAATCATTTACTTGTAAACAAAAGTTAATCAACACAATTAAAGATAAGTAAGTAATGCTTAATCAAAAAAATAAAAGAAATAAAAAGCATTTGTGGTTTTAGAGAAATCTCAATTTTATCTAATATCTAAAATATCTAAACAGTCATATTATACATCTAGTCAGGATGTATTGCACAAAAAAAAATCAGATGATTAGAGCCTGCAAACAAAAATACCCCCAAAAATTCTCCCCTTACCCCAAATATGAGGGCAATTAGTTAACAAACTATTTTTTTTACTATCTTATACTAAATTTAAATTTCATGGAATAAGCTTTTAGAGCTTACAAGTTATGACAATGTAAAACTTAAAACCCCAAAGCCTGAATTTGATACTATAGAGTATTTTTGTAAAAAAATGTGTTTTTAAAGTGTAAAAAAAACCTACTAAAAAAGTGAAAACTCTTGTTTTATAAAATAATATAGGTAATATATAACACAAATATAAGTATATATTGAGAAATATGTTAAAATTCTAAAATGATAAATTCATTCTTAAAGTTACAGGTGTATTGGCAAATTAATCAACTGCACTATAAAATTAACATTCTTTGTCATTTGTGTTTGCATATTGATTGCAAATGACTAAAAAACTCAATATATGACCTTTTGTTTTGACTTAATGCTAACCCCTGGTCCACTGTTTTATGGTTTGATAAAGATACCAGCTTAACCTTAGCCTCAGACAATTATACAAAGTAAAGCATTAATCTAAGCAAGAAGCAATTATTCAACATACTATTATGCTTCCTTTTAATATTTGCATAAGATACCCAGGAATTTTTCTGATTTTTGACAAGCTATGAATACATTTTATTGAAAGCATTAAATAAGAAAGGTTAATTAATTTTCTTCATCAAAACAGACTAATCCCTGTTTGTAAATCTGTGTTCAGCAAATGACAATTTAAGCAGTGTCAAGTAAGTAATGTAAATATCATATATAGTCATATCATATTTCATGGCATTATATAAATATCATATTTAATCATATCATAATCACTCATATCATATTTAATACAAGCTATATCTAATCAGATTAGTGTTTAAATTGTAAGCAAATTAAAGTTTAATTTAAACTTTTTTTTTTAATGAGGATTAAATTTCTTCATAAAATCTAATCTGTTAAATTGGATTTTGTTTAAGGTTTTTCTGATGTTTTTTTCTTTATGGATAAACGCATTTGGCAATGCAGCAGATGTAAAAAGACTATACGAAGTGGCTTTTTTGAATTTTCAACCTCTTTAAGTGTAAGTGATATACTTCAAATTATGTTGTTACAAGTTTCAGAGGTCTCTGTTACTGCTGCAGTTGAGTTTGTAGGAGTAAGCCAGCAAACTTCAGTTCAGTGGTATCACTATTTTAGAGACATCACAATGATGAAAAACATTGGATTTTGGGGGCTTATGACATAACAACTACAAAAGGGTATTTGACTAGGGTAGAGGATTGGACTGTGAATACATTAGTGCCTTTAATTCAAACATGAATTGCTCCTGGTTCAATTATACAATCAGATGAATAGGCTTCATACAATAATTTAAGCAACTTAGGCTTAGTCTTTTTGGTGTAGGATAAAACGTAAATTGAAGTTCTCAAGGTGATATGAAATGGTCTAGGTTGGATGAGGCAGTATATAGGATGTTATATAGTATATGTTGGATTAGACAGTATATATAAAATTTTAATATTATGAATTTAAAAATAAAGATTTATGACAAAATTTTAATATGTTCCTGGGTCATATTCACAATAAGTATCCTCTTTGAATTATATAAATATAAATATTTTATTTCTATTTTAATGTATGATTTTATTTTATGAATTTTTGGAGCAAATCTTTAATTTTTCTGTGTAAAGCTGATGATAAGAAGAATATACATGGAAGATGATCATTATAAACGACAAGATTAAGAAAAAAAGACAATTAAAAGATATAAATATAAAGAAGCACTATTGGAAGGAAGAAACATAATTAAAATCTAGTGAAGAATTTGGATAAGAAAAAGTTAATGAAAAAAAGTAAACTGAAGAACATCAGAACATTTATTTTAAAAAGCACTAATATATTGCAATTGTTTATTTAGTTTAAAACTGTTAACACCTATACATAACTTTTTTTGGTGGAATTAATTTGTTTTTTGTTAATTTTTTAACTTGTCACAAAACATTTCTCAAGTAAAATTGAAATAGTAAAATCTTACTTAAAATAATAAAGCTTTGAAAAACTTAAATTCTATTTATTTTAACTCTAATATCAGTAGTATAGGTATAAATGTTGTAATTTTATAGTTGTAACTGCTTATATTTGGTTTGTAAAGATGTGAATTAAAGTCTTAAATTTTAAAATTGGTTTTAAAAAAATTATTTTTTTCCTTCGAAGTAGCCATTTTGGCTCTTGTCATAAAAATGTACTCGGCATGGTTTTACCATTCCATAAAACCTTTTTTTGTTGTCGTTGACAAAAAGTTGTATTTCTTGAAATATTTTGTCATTTTTTCTGTATTTTTAAAAGCTTTTACAACCAAAAAATTGGGTTGAAATTTTTAATTCAAGTCCTAATTTAATAAATTTGTATCAATTCCTAATTAATACAAATTTGTTTTTAATAAAGTTTAAACAGTAAATAAATAGTAGTTTAAATAGAAAACAAAGTAAATTTCTTAAAAGCAGAGGGGAACAATATAATCCATTATATTGTTCCCCTCTATTATATTTACATTTTTACATATATATATATATATATATATATATATATATATATATATATATATATATATATATATATATATATATATAAAATATGTTATATTATATTATATAAAAAAAAAAAACTTAGCAAACAAAAATTTTTTATAAGACTATTTAGACTATTTAGGTTTTCTTAAGAGATAAGATTGATACAGCAGCACATACACACAGTATATTATTTATAATTGGTAGGTAAAATAATGGCTGCTTTTTAAAATAAGTATTAATTTTTTTTTAAAATATGTATTAAATAAACATTTTATTGCTCTACATAAATGCAAATATTAGACTAGTAACATAAAACAAAAATTAAAAAAATAAAAATAAAACTCACTTAAGAGTTACATAATAATAACCAAAGTCAAATTGTACAAAATTGATTTTTTAAGCAATAAAAAAAAAAATTAATAATAAACTTATTGCAAAAACACTTGCTTACCAATAATACAACTTAACTTGATGTTTGCATCTTTTTTAATTTATTGACTCAAAGATGTGTACATATTTTTTTTTGCTAAAATTCTCTTGATTTTTATTTTAATTATATTTTTGTGCGTAAATGGTTTTACTTTTTGAAATCTTACACCTTACTTGTTTAATATTTACTTGTTTGTTTACATTTTTACCCTCCTGAGAAAAACATTGCATCACATGGTTCATAATGGCTGCTTAATTTCAAAATCTTCTGTTATCTTAATTTGGTTGGATTTATTTTTTACTGATGACAACTGTGGTTGTCCATTTTTTTTAAATTCAAAAAAGAATGTGCGCAATATAAGGTAAACAACTTTAATGATTATTTTATTGATTTTAAAAACATTTTCAAAGATATTTACAAAATTAAACGAATTGTGCTATAAATACCTTGAAGAAGAGCCAAAAAACTGTTGTTCAGTATCACGAATTCGATTTTGGGTTGAATTCATACCTTTTGCAGAAAAAGGACGAATCTGTGAAGCTCGCTTTATTGGTTTTGAGTGAGCCATAATTTCTTAGGAAAAAAAAAACAGACAATAATTTGAAATATATAGTAAATAAATTTTTTATTTAGGTAAATAAAAATTTAAATAATTTAATAAATAAAATAAAAATTTAATTAAATAAACTTTGAATATTTAATAAATTCAATAGATTAATATTTTTATTTTGTATATTAATGTTATATTTATATGTTAATGTTATATTTAATTTGATTACATTCATATTTTAATGTTTTATTCATATGTGAACATTATATTTAATTTGATTACATTTACGTTTTAATGTTTTATTTATATGTAAATGTATTATTTAATTTATATGTTAATGTTATATTTAATTTGATTACATTAATGTTTAGGTGAGGATTTACAAAAAAACTTTTAACTGATGTAAAAAAGCACTTTTATAAATCAAACTAATATTTTTATTTGACTTAAATTAAATCTATTATTTATGTCCAATTAAACGAAATAAGTGTCACTATATAAATAGATGACACCCAATAAATGATAACTAATAAATTAAATTGTTTAATAGATGGCATCTGCTAATTAAATAAAAGATTAAATACACTGTGAAGTTTATTTTTTTCAAATTAATACATTTTTAACAGAACTTGTTTGCAAAATAAACTAAACCTCTTACTAAAAGGTTGTGCTAATGTAAGATAAATTAGTTATACTAAATAAGTTTTAGGTTAAATGGAGGAAGGCACTTAAAAACAAAGAAAAAAGAGGTTGTGAAATTGGTTAATTTTAGGTCTGCTCCTAGTATATGTCTGCCCCTAGTAATAAGTTACTTTTAAAGAGTTGTAAATTACTTTTTCCGAAAGCAATTATAATAACACAGTTTGATTAGTTTAGTTATAAATATATGTTATATTAAGGTAAATAAAATTAAAGTATATACTTTGTGGAGATATAATTTGTGGAGATATACTTTGTGGAGATATAATTAGTGGAAATACTTTGTTATAACTAGTTAAAATTATAGTAATATATCTTTATGGTTGCAACCATTTAATTTTAAATATAAATATTTGAATATAAAAAGATAAAAATTTTAAAATTATAAACAACCATTTAAAGATTCCTCTTCTTGTCTTTGGTTATAATCCAGCACAAGTCTCTTCATCTCTTCATGTTCAGCTTGCTTTGCTTTTTGTTTATCATGCATATTAGCAGCAAGATCAGATGTTATTGGAATGGGTAAATCTTTCAGAATTTGTTTATTATTCTTTTTTAACATCATAACAAAATTAATTGACTGTGGATGTTCAACAGGCTCTTCAGCATTATTTCTCATCTTCTTATGCTTACCTTAAATAATTATTTTTTATATTAATTCTCATGTAACAAGATAACAGAACAACAATAACAGACCAACAATAACAGAACAACAATAACAGAACAACAACAGAACAACAATAGAAGAACAACGATAACAGGAAACATCAATAAAGCTTAAATACTAGATATGAAAATAAATATAAAACATATACATATAACATAAACATAAAACATATATATAAAAATGCTGTATATAATAACAGAAAAACCTAATATTCACATAAAGTTATTAAATATAAGCACACATGCAAATATCAACAAAATACACAAATAAACATAATATGATATAACAAAATATAAACAGAGTATCCATGTAAAAGATACAATAAGTAAAAAGTCTGAAATTGCCTTTTAAGTTCATCGGAATGGCAATGTCCAAATTTGGTGTAACCATATTATCTTGCAATCGCTCTGTGACACTTTCCCCAATCATACGTTCAAACTGCTTGCAAAAGAAGTCATCCTCTTCACATTGGTAGAGTTTAGGCTTCTCAAGTAAAACAACCTGAAAAGCATTAAACAACAAAGCTAGGGCTTTTATCAGTACCAGCAGTAGCCTAGTTCGTTAGGCTTTGTATTTTGGTGTCAAAAGGCTGAGAGGGGGTTGTAATAACACTTTCAAATAAGTTGCCTATAGTGGACTAGTGATTTAGGAAAGGCGAATTATTAAACAAACAAAAACAAAAAACATATAAAGCTGAAGTATAATAATTTTCGATAAACATGTCCTTAATGTCCTCAATAAATATATATGAAACATTTCAAAGCATTTTTTAAACTATCAAAATAAAAAATTAACCTTTTACAAGATACAAATTATAAGATAAACAATTCAAAATTTGAAAACAATTTTTTTTTTAAATCATTCTAGTACAACACCTGTTCAACATTATCCATGGTAAACATTTCATCATTTTCACTACCAGAAAAATTATTATCATCTTCTTTATTTTCATATTCATCTTCTCCTTCATATCTATCCTCTTCTTCTTGAGAAGATTGAGATGCAGCAAAAGAAAAAGCCTGCGGAGAATCTTGCATTGGACTAGATAAGGAAGAAGTATTTGAAAAGTTATCTTGACTATTCTTTTCAACTTCACCTAGAATAAAAATCCAAGCAATTTAAAATTTTAAACAATCAAACCTGAGAACTGTTTTCTTCAAACCAGACAAGGAAATAAATTCAATAATTTGGAAAACATTAATTAGAAATTTTAATAATTTATTATTAGACATTAAACTATGTATAAAAAATTATAAAGCTTATGTTTTCATTTTTAGTCATAAGTTTTAATTATAAAATTTTTATTTTCATTCATAAAGAATATTTGAAATTTTTTATTTACAGTAAATATTCATTCATAATTATTACAATTATACAATTGTATTCAATATCATTAGTTTAATGAACAAAACATTTCTTTATTAAAGAAATTTTTTGTTCACAATAGATATGTAATCTAATTTTTAATTAAAAACACAATTTTAAACCCCTTTAAACAACATTCTTAATATTCAAATTTTAATTAGTAAAATAAAATTTAGCTGCAATCTCATGAATTCTATTTAATCACAAAGTTTCTATAACTATCACACTTAGGTCAAATTTTTCAATAATACTTAAAGATTCATGCAGTTTGTATAATTAAAATACTTGTGCATTGTGAAAATAAAACTGAATGAACTGATTGTATTGAACAAGTTCTAAGTTCCACATATTTTTTAAAAAGTATCAATCTTACAAAATTTATTCTGAAATTCTTTATTCAACTCTTCAGCTGCTTGTTTTGCATCTTCTAATGAAGTAAACAATTTTAAAGAAGGCCTCAAACTTTCAAAGGTATCATGTACCATATACTCAACTTCTTTAGGAAAAGGGCACTGTTCATTCCAGCAGTCGCTTTCTTTTTTTTGCCAGATGTAACACTAAAACAATTAAAAAAATTTTTTGGTAAATTTAAAATCTTTCGATTTTCCAGAAAAAGTTTTTTAAAAAAGGAGAAAAATTATTTGAAAAAAAAGTTTTGAAAAGAAAAATTTATAAAATTAAAATTATTTAACTTTTTTTCATAGTAATTTTTTAAAATTTTATTTTTAACTTTTATTTTTTAAGAATTGCATGTTTTAATTCTTTCATAGATATTTTTATCAGGGATGCAAAGTCTCAATAAGGACTCCAGATTTGAATGTCACAAAAAAATAACTTTTTTCTAGTTTTTTGGTATCCAGGAGCTCTAAAAATATATAAAAAACTTATGGACTATTATTAGTAAAAACATTAGGACTTTTAGTTTAGTTTAGAGGAACAATCAATTTTTGAACCCAGAGTCCTTAGATATGATGGCGGCAAGGACTCTGGGACTACAGAACTCTTTGCTTAAAAACAATGTTTTAAGTCCATAAACTTCATGAGTTTTTTTCATTTAGCAGATAATAAGTCAACCAACATATTCAGAGCTTCTGGACATTAGAGACCAGGAAAAAATATAGATATAAAGCTGGAGTCCTTTTGAATCTCCGCACCCTTGATTTTTATACATTATTTACATGTTAACAGTTATAAATTTAAAACTAATATTACTTTTTAAACTCAATAATATTGTATACAATAAATTAAAATTTTAATACAATAAATACAAATTAGATGATTTGAGATCACATTTTAAAAAGCTTTTTAAGTTTGAAATTTTTTTTCAAGTTTAGATAAATTAAAGTAATTTTGAAATTCAAGAAAATCTTTGAAGAATAATAAAAGAAAAGATTGCCGCCCCATCCTAAACCCTCAGTTAATGTAGTGGCACTCCTTTGCAACAGCAGACTTAAGGATAGTTAATATATGTACTGAAGGCCCTGACAGCAGGCCATTTTAGTGTGACATGAGATATGTTATCTAAACACCATTTATACATAGATGCTTTACTTTTGCATGGTCATCTATAATTTTAACCATAAAATGTAAACTTTTTTTTTTTTTAATTAAATACTGAATATATTGATATTAAGTTATACAGAAATTTAACAATACAATATTTGTTTCCAAAAATTCTGAAAATGTTTTTTCTACATTGTTTATGTCTTTCCTAATAAGAAAATTCGATTCAAAAAACCTTTCTAATCATACATTTTTTAGATTTCATGTTAAACCTACATAGCAGTTATCACAACCACAACCCATTCTCGAAAATCAAGTTTGAAGTTTTTCATCAAAGCGTTAACATTTTTAAATAATTTTATTAAATAAATTGATATACTTCTGTCATTAATCAATAATGATAAATTTCTGAACCAATTCTATAAATAAAGATGCACCAATGAATACACTGTTTGTTTTGACAAAACTATGTATCACAATATTTGTTTTTGGTTTCTAAGTATAATTAGGTAAAAACAAAAATTGCACAAGGAATAGACAAACACAGTCGGAAACCACTCAACAAGGTTCAAAAATGTTTAGATTTTCTAGATTTATGATTGTACTGTAAATCACTCTCTCAAAGAAGCCCTAAAATGTTTTTGTTATACTGTCTTTGTGATGTTTAAATATATATCTTGATGAAAGCGCTGGCCTTGTTCCTCGAAGTAAGCGCCCATGTTCAACTTGAATTTGTCAAGATGCGAATCAAAGATATGGACTTTCAGAGATATTCTGCATCCCATTTTGGCATAATTCTTTATGAGATTCTGCACCAACTCCACATAGTTTTCAGCTTTGTGATTACCTAAGAAGCCCTGAACAACTGTAACGAATCTGCTCCATGCCGCTTTCTCAATCCTGTTCATCAGCTTAACCAAATCATCACATTCTATGATCTTCTTGATCTGTGGTCTGACGGATATACCAGCCCTGACCTTAGCTTCGGACAGCTTTGGAAAAAGATTTTGGGGGTATTGAAATGCTGCTGACTCCTTGTCAGGAGCAGTGACAAATTGCTTAAGGAAGCCTAACTTGATGTGCAGCGGTGGCATAAACACTTTATGAGGTTCTATTAGCGGTTCCAACTTCAATTTGCTCTTCCCAACAGAGAATTTGGTCAGTTGCAGCTAGTTGTTTGTGCACCTTAATGTCACGGCTGTCCCAGAGACAAAAGAAACAAGGAAATTTCGCCCTTGAAGACCCACAGGGAATGATAAAATTTTGAAGTCACCAACGACCTTCCATCCATAGTCATCATACTTTAATGCATCAGCAACATTTTGATACTGGTGCAGTCCTCTTTGAGATGCACAGAGTAGGCCATCGGGAGAGACAGGTAGTTTTTCCGTTGTGAAGCAACATGGCTTCACAACGGAAAAACTACCTCTGAGGCTCTGGGATGAACTGTCAATAAATAGGCACCATTTAATAGGATTGCATGCAATATCTATAGCCTGAAATAGACTGGCAACATTGTTGCAGAAGCACAGCCTATAACACTGACCGAAGAATCTTTGATACCGCTTCCTTTGATCTATGACTTGTACGCTATCATCAACCAAGCTCCACTGTTTGAGCCTGGATATCAAAAACTCAGCATTTAATTTCTTAAGCCTGAGGTCCCTAATTAAATCACTCACAACTTCTGGTTAGGGAGGTACGGCTTTCTATCCCCAACTTCATCTGCGGAATCGTAGTCCATATCTCTAGTATCTGCCTCACTATCTGGCTTGCTGATGTCTCCTAAAGAAGGCCAATGCCATCTAGGAGGATTAAAAACAGGCAAATCAGGGCTGTGCACAGTGGGCCAGCTATGGACAAAAGTCAAAATTTTGACATGATCCAATCTGTCTGAAAATCATATACAATGTTCTATATATATATCTAACTAAAGTTCTGGAGTTATTCTATTATATTTGTTGTTAAATAATTCTTAATCATCTTTCCGAAACAGCTTTATAATAATTTGGTGAAAAGTTGACATTTTTTTAATAATTTTGGTAATAAAGGTGTAAAGTTAAAAATTAAAAAATTTGAACCTGGAAAAAAATTAAAAAGTAGTCAAGCTTTTTTTTGGATGATCCACGATCAAAATATTGGCCACAGGTATCTAACAAAGTGCAAACAAGACGAATGCGAAACAAGTTCTCAGGAGGATCCAGTTCTGATGCTGCCACTAAATGAAATACAGCTAACAGTAACAAAATATGAAAACAAAACAACTTTTTTTTATTATTTCAAATTTACTAAATATTAATGTTCAACATCAACATCAATGAAAAACAATTAATAAAAATAAGGAGAAAAAAAAAGTTAATTTACTATCTAAGCAACTGCCGAATGTTATTAACATGTACAATGTGTTAAAAATAATGTCACTATCAACTAATTGATAGTTATACATTTCTCCAAGATACTTCATACAACATATTCTTCGCTGGTTATCTCGAAATATGTTAGTCTACAATTTAAATACAAAAGGATTTTAATTCAGTTTTAAATGTGCAAAATGCAAGATTGTTTCAACTTTACAGGTTAAACTTTACAAGTATTTTGTGCAAAACAAACAAACAAACAAAAAAACAAAACAAGTAGATCAAACAGAAAACAGGAACATAACACCATACCTCCATACCAAGCCTAATGTTTTCTAAAGTTCCATCAATAATGCATATAGCTAAATCTTCCTAATAAAAACTAATAATGATTATTAGTTGACAAAAACATGTTATTAATTGTTAAAAATTTTTGCACAGCTAATAGTATTATAAAATATTAAATTTTAGAAACTAGAAGATAAAATGTAAGAAATTAGAAAATGTAAAAAAAAAACATGATATTCTACAAAATATTAAATGCAAGAAATTGCATAATATTCTGCAAAATATTAAATGGCAGAAACTATGATATATTGCAAAATATTAAAATAACAAATTACATGACAATCTGCAAAATATTAAATGTAAGAAATTATATATTCTGCAAAATATTAAATGTAAGAAAATATACGATATTCCGAAAAATACTAAATGTAAGAAATTACTTGATAATCTGTAAAATATCAAATGTAAGAAATTAAAATATTCTGCAAAATATTAAATGTAAGAAATGATATGATTTTTTGCAAAATATTAAATGTAAGAAATTACATGATATTCTGCTAGTCCAGACAACATATTAGCAACACATCTAATATTGTTAAACTTTACATTCCAAATATTTGTTAGACATCTTGCAACATACGCAACTATCTAAATAAATAAAGTTTATTTCAGAACTGAAAGTTTACTTTAGGACTGCAAGTTTCATTTTATTAAGTTTAGTTACATAAAAGTTAATTCAAAAAGAAATTTGTTAGATCATAAAATAAAATAAAAAAATTATTTTTACCTTACTATCATTCCAAGGTAACTTTCTAATCTGCCGTAAAACTTTCTCTGTAGTTGTTTTAAAAAGGTCTTTATACACAAGTTTACGAATATATTCATGGATGGGTTCTCGCACTTTCTTATTCAGCTTAAAAAGAATAATAAACACATACAAAATAATTCATATGAATAAAAAACATGTCTTAAAAAACCTAGTTCTAAAAATTTTTCTTCAAATAAAAATTTTAAAAAACTGCTTACATTTAAAAAAAAAAACCAACCAACACAAAAATAAAAAAAAAACAAAAAAAAAAACCTTTTGCCTTTCAGGTGGATTACAATAATAGAATGCATTCTCTATCATGGTAGAATGTCGTGTATCAAAAGCTTGCACAGCTTTCTTACGCATCATTTGTTCCTAAGTCATTTCAAAACTTTATTATTACAACCTAAATTTCACAAACTCAAGACTAATTTAATAAAGCAAATACAAATACTACAACAACGAATAATATATTTATTACTATAATTAGTAATAAATAATTAGTATATAACTATGAAATTCTCACTAGTAAACTTGACATCCTAGAATGAGATTCAGGTGATCGATATAAAAATCGTCCACAAGTTTCAATCAAATTGCATGCCATATCAATATTATGATGTGTAAACTTGTCCAAGAGTACCTGAAATAAAAGAACAGCAATTAAAACTTGTTAAAAATTAATCAAAATTTGGACAATTATTAAAAATTAATTTAGTATAAAAATTGACTTACCTTCAAACAATAAAGTGCTTCAGCTTTTGGACACACCTTGAATTTTGTTAACTCACCTATATATCAAGTATAAAAACGGATGTTGGTTTTTATAGTGAAAAAAATATAGTAACCTAAGTATATATATATACATATACATACATACATACATACATACATACATACATACATACATACATACATACATACATACATACATACATACATACACACACAGATATATATATATATATATATATATATATATATATATATATATGTTATAATGTAAAACACTGATGTTAATTATCAATGTAAAAAAGTATAGAATTAAATTATTTCTGTTGTATAACTGAAATCATTGAGAACTTGTAAAACGTAAACTTAATATATATACTATTTTTTTTTTTTTTAATTTAAATTCGCCTCCTCAAGGCCATGATGGTCGAGGAGGCTACTTTAGTTGTGGTTACAACCCTTTCTCAACTCTATAACTGACACAAACCTTGACGAACAAGGCTGCTGCATGGAGAAACAAGTTGAGCGCGGTACTACCAGGGACGTGGTGGGGATCAAACTTGGAATTTCTCACTTATAGACGAGCGCTTTACCATTACACCACTACCACATTTATATATATATACATATATATATATATACATATATATCTATATATATATACATATTTACATATGTATATATATATACATATATATCTATATATATATACATATTTACATATGTATATATCTATATATATATACATATTTACATATGTATATATATATACATATATATCTATATATATATACATATTTACATATGTATATATATACATACATACATATATATATATATATATATATATATATATATATATATATATAGCATACACATGCATATATATATCTTATACTGCTGATTTAGGTGAGCAGTGTGACATCATACTGAAACAGCCTGCTGCCGGGGTCTTCAGTACATACATCAACTGACAAATAGCCTGACTGGCAGTAGAATGCTGCTACATAGACTGAGGGTTTGGCTTGGGGCAGCAATCTTTTCATTCATTATTCTTCGTTTTTTTCTTCTTTTTCTGAAAAACCCGTACCAATTTAGATAAGCAAAAAAATTGAACAAGTGCTCACATAAATATGCTATAGTAGATATATAAATTTTTTGAGATTCTACAGCAATGTGGTTTAAACAAGTATTGGTTGGACATTTCAGCAGTGTGATTTGGACGAGTCTCCCAAAAAACCATTTTTTTAATTTTGATATGTTATTTAACTCTTTAAATTTATACAATTCATAATCGAGGAAGAATTATATAATAAAAATATTATAAAACAATTTAAATTGTTGTAAAAAATAAATTATTACCTATAAATCTTACAGTTTTAATTTTTGATTCAGAATGTATTTGATCTTTCTTACGAAGCTATGTGTAAAACAGTGAAAAACTTAATCAAAATTAATTTACAATCATTTATTCCACTAAGTATCTAAAGTTATTAAATTTTCAAACAGATAATTATGCAATAACAAAAAAATTATTATATTTAGTACCTGAAAAAAATATATTATCAAATTATATTATACTTTATTCTATACTATTTATTATTTTTATATTGTACTTCATTTACCAACAATATTTAATAAAATAAAAATAAATAATAAAAGTTTGAGAATGTAATCAGCAAACAAAATAACATTGCTGATTAAAAAAACAATAAGTTTAAGTAGTGGAACCGCATTTAACAGACTGTGCAGATTGTTAGAAAGAATTTTTTTAAATAAAAATAGCTAAATAATAAAAATAGCAACTATAAACATACTATTTAGAATAATTATTACATGTTTAAATATTTATCTAAAATCATTAAAACAGCTCTTTATGCAACATTATTTTTTAGTAACATCGTGCAACAGTCTAAATATTCTCTGAATTATTTTTAAACCTAAGATTTATTTTTATAGATAAAACGAAATCTTAGGTTACCATACAAGGAACATTATCAAGAGAACTTCTGTAAAAATAACCTTTGAAAGCGACAACTAGAGAATCTTTAACAGAATATATAGCAAGGGCAAATCTGTTTTTCCACCACTCTTGTATGGTTCAGATTTTGTCACCTCGCCAAAAGACAAGGCTGAATTGTTTGCTAAGAACTTATTATCAACATCATCTATTGAGTTGACTAGTCACGTTCTACCTGATATAGCCAACAAACTGGTAGGTCACTCCAGCTTTTGTATCCAAAATAATTTCCTATTCAGACTCTTCTACAGCTTGTGCTCAAGACAACATACCTGTTATAGTCTATGGAGCTGTCATTTATACTTTCAAAACTATTTAACAAGCGCTTATCAGAGTCTTGTTTTCCATCCTGCAGGAAAGCAGCATCTGTTATGCCTATTTTAAAAAATTCTGGAGAGCAATCTGACTTTTCTAACTACCATCCCATTAGTCTACTTCCTATCATTAGCAAGGTTTTTGAGTCTTTAATTAACAAACACTAAATCTCTCATCTTGATCTTCTTGTTCTGATTTATTAACTGATAGGTTTTATCATGCATCAGATAGATGTGGAGAGGCTAAGGCTTTCCCTTTAGACATTCAATAAAGCTAGTAATGCTAATCTTCTCCATAAGCTTTCTTCTTACAGTGTATCA